TTTAGGGTGTAGGGTTTCTGAATCGGAAGCGTTGCGAGGCTCGGCATTGCCGATGACTGAACCCCAAACCTCTCATCCCTCAGGCGCCTCAACCCCCCAAAATCTTAAAGCGGTAAGCGCACGTTGCAAGCTTAGTGCAGGTCTCGACCCCAAGGTGACAAAATAGTCACCCAGACCCTCCAATATCCCTCGATTACAGAATATACTTTAAAGCCCGGATATGATTTAAGGTTTCTTCCCTAGCGAACTAAAGTGTTTTGGAAGGTCTGGGTACATCCGGGACACAAACCCAAAGGCTCCATGTACCCATAGAGCATGCACCTATAGACCCTAAAGTACCTACAAAAGGAACCCCCTTTTAAGGCCTAAGTATATACTATAATAGGTACATGGATCCTTTGGGTGAAGACCCAGCGCTTTGAGCCCCAGAACCCGTAGCACACGGGTAATTCCTGTCTTAAATCCTCTCCCTGCAAAGGACCACCTAAAACTCTACTTTACATCCCCCCTCGTACTAGTACTTACACCCTAAACTAAACCCCTAAACCCCAAACGCCTTAACCCTCAAGCCCCCTCTCTCCTGCCCCCTATCCAAACAAAACCCAAAGGCTCCATGTACCAATATAGTATATACTTAGGCCTTAAAGGGGTTCCTATATAGCTACTTTAGTATCTAAGTGTATATTACATGGGTACATGGAGCCTTATAAGCCCCAAACCCTATAGAACCCTTAAAGGCACCCTTGTAGATACCTTATATCAACATCCCTCGTATCCTAAGAATAAAGGTGCAACAATAAGTCACCCTAAACCCTAAACCCCAAACCCCTAAACCTTAAACGCCTTAACCCTAAACCCCCCCCCCCTCTCTCCTCACTCCTATCCCCAAAACTCCCAACGGCTTCAAACCCTAAACCCTGAAACCCTAAACCTCTCCTATCCTACCCCAAACAAAAAAAAGGGTGCAACTGGAGCCTTATAAGCCCCAAACCCTATAGAACCCTTCAAGGAACCCTTATAGATGCCTTAAAAGGTCCCCAAATCCTCCAAACCCCTAAACCCCTAAACCCTCAAACTCTAAATGAGGGTCCCTTTTGAGCCCTCAAAAAGAAGGATATTAAAAGGGACCCTAATTTGGAGAATTACCTACATAGGACCCTGAAAGTACCCTTATCGAAGCCCTAAAGAAACCCTTATGGAAGCCTTTAAGGAACCCGAAACGGACCCATATACCCTAAACCCTAAACCCAAACCCTTTAAGGAACCCAAAACGGACCCATATACCCAAAACCGTAAACCCTTTAAGGAAACCCACCAAGATCCATGTACCCTAAACCCTAAACGGACCCCTAAACCCTATAAACCCTCTAAGCCTTTTAGATCCCCAAGAAAAAAACCCTTATGGTACTCTTTACGGAACCCCCCAAAAACCCTGATGGGCGCCGCACCTCCAGGCCTTGATGGGGGCCACTCCACTTTACCTGGCAAACCTGGCGACGAAGGCCCCAAAAGGCCCCAGAGGGTTTCGGGTTTAGGGTTTAGGGCTTGGGGTTTAGGGTTTAGTGTTTAGGGCGTGGGGTTCGGGATTGAGGGTTTAGGGATAAGAATTTAGGTTTTTATTTAGGTTTAGGCTTTTAACAGATTGGGGTAAGGCTCCTTTAGAGCCTACTGTACGTTTCTCGGATTTGAGGGCTTGAATGCTTTGAAGAGGGCTTTGGGGCAATTTTATTATACTATGTGTAGCTATCGTAATTCGGATCCATATTTGCAAATTATTCCGACCCCTATATTAGACCTTGAACCCTCTTGCAGGGTTGAAGCAGGGCTGGGGCTTTGAGATATGGAGGTCCACGCGGGTGTAAACACGCACGTGTTGTGGCATGTGAACAGCCATGTGCTCTTCATTTGTCGAGAGGCGCAATTGCACAACATTAGAACACAAACATGCAGGTGCCTATCTATGGATATGTATGTGTGTATGTGTATATATATATATGTATATACATATACATATGATATGTATATATATATATACACATGCCACTAAAAAAAAAATCCAAAGTCACATACATGTGTTAGATGGCTGGATGATAGTAGGCGGAGTTTATCCATCGATCAAGAATGCTCTCAGATAAACAGATGAAGATGTAGATCGAGATGGAGCCAGAGATGGATATCGAGATGGAGATATAAATGGAGATACAGATGGAGAGATACAGATGGAGCTTTGGGATAGGGAGAGAGATTGACATAGAGATCGAGATGTAGATAGAGATAGAGACACTTAGATAGACAGATAGGTAGTCAGATCGATAGACAGATAGATAGATAGCTAGCTAGGTTGATAGATAGATAGATATAAACTTTACAGATAGATCAACAAGTGGACAGGCAAGCAGTTTGCCCACGCAACGCTGCAGCTAGAAGACCATGCTACGGTCGATGATATAAACCCTCGCATTACCCATAATCAGGAATATACCATAATTCCCATAGTTTAGGGTCCTTAAGGTCACGCCGGATTTCTGTCCATCAACCATACCACTGCCGGCTTGCCCTCATCCTGAGGCCACTAGATCCTCACGCCGAAACATCCAGGCCCCCAAAACCCCAAAAAAACCGCCCAAGAGTCCCCAAAAAATCATACACACACACACACAAAACAAAAAAATAAAAAACTAAAAACAATAATTAAAAAAAACAGAAGTACAAATACCCCAGAAAGCTCCTGCAGGCCTAAACCTTCAATCCTAGAAGGGCCCGATAGCATTTCTACAAGGGCTCAAAGAGATTCCCTTGGCTCTACACGAAAAGCTTCTTCAAGGCCTCAGTAAGACACTTCTATAGGGGCTCTTTCAGGGTTCTCTATGTATAGTACATACATACATACATACATACATACATACATCCATGCATGCATGCATGCATACATACATACATACATACATACATACATATATATATAGTTATAATTATTACTTCTATACGTACTATTAATCACCATTAGCATTAGGATTATTGCTTATTATTGTCACTAATACCTTTTTTATGGCTATCATGCAAAGTCTTCGGAGCCTTCTGGAGCCCCTATAGATCCCTTTAAGGAACCCTAAAACCAGACCCCTAAACCCTGAACCCTAACCCCCAATAAAGCTTGCTTGGAGCCTCCTTAAACCCTAAACCCTAAACCCTAAACCCTAAACCGTGTAAGTCTTCGGAGCCTTCTGGGTCGGCAGCGCCCAATCCGCAAAGCCATCGAAGGTGGCCCAGGCCGCGTCCACGGCGCAGGCGTCCACGAGGTTTACGAAGGCGTAGCCCAAATTCGCCTTTGAGGGGTTTAGGGTTTAGGATTTCGGTTTAGGGTTTAGGGTTTAGGGTTTCGGGTTTAGGGTTTAGGGTTTAGGGTTTAGGGGCAGGACTGGAATGGTTACGGTTAATGAAAATATACCCTGACCGTCCCCACATGACTATCACACAAGATACCCCCACATTTTAATCGAATGTGCTAACAAGAGTCTAGGGACTTGGGCTGAAGGGCTCTAAGCTATCCTGCATGTTAGAAACAGCCTGGGAACAGGCTTCAGGGTTTCAGGCCAAGGGGCCAAGAAAGAAGGCCAACCCTTAAGGTTATTGCATCCTTGAGTGGGCCATGCACCCTAACCCTAAACCCTAAACCCTAAACCCTGAAGCCGAAGCCCGAAGCCCTAAACCCTCATCTCCACGAGGGAACTTGGGGTTGAATTACAATTCACCGTGACTTTCGGCATTCCAAGTTGGCCTGGCGCCGGAAGTCACAAGGCAAGTAAACGAAGTCGTAACGGCCAGCAAAGCCGTTGTCGTCAAGGAGAGCAAGGAACATCTCTCGCGTGTAGTTGTTGGGGATGTTGCGCAGCATGACGGTCGTTCTGTCCGACAGCTGCTTCGCCGGATTGCTCCTCTTCTGCACTTTCGACTTCGGGTGTGTGGCTGGCACCTTAGCGCATACAGTCGTCGGCTTCGCAATGCAGTCACTGGTGTGCTCCTCACTGAACTTTCCAGGCATGTAGGCCTCCTCGATGTCAAAGGCGATCACCGCAGCGGAGTCTGACATGGTCCGACCCCGCAGCTGTGCGAAGCACTGCATGAGGCCTTGGCTCTCATCCACATCGAGGAATGTGGCCTTCACGAATACCTTGCACTGCCCGTCCACACCCCACTCCGGTGTGTCTAGACGCGGCGAGGGAAAGCCGGAGGAGCACCCTTTCACGCTCTCGCTGTCGCTGAGCTCCGGAGCTACTGTGGTCTCCGAGCCGCGTCGCGCAAGCTTTCGGGGCGAGGCCGGCATAGTCGAGAGGAGGGACATGGGAGAGCGAAGGCTAGACAAAGGCTCGCGACAGTCGCGCTTTGTTGACGACACTGATGTCCTGGGCCAAACGAGCTGGTGCAATGCACGTGAACATCATGAGAAAAAGACTGCGAACCAGGGTTTAGGGGTTAAGGCTTTAGGGCTTAAGGTTTAGGGTTTGCAATGATTCGTCCTAAGGTTGCTTTCAATCTCTGGCCACGACATCGACGTCACAGCACTGCGCTTCATGAAGATTCTTCAAGGCCTGCTAGAGTCTCCTGGTGTGGCACTGACCGAGGGCTTTGGGAGGAAACAAGGGTCGAGGGCTTGGGGTTTAGGGGTTTCGGATTTAGGGTTTTGGGCTTTGGGTTTTGGGCTTTGGGGTTTAGGCCTTAGGCTTCTGGTTTTGGGCCTGTTGCGAAGCCGGACAGCATATGGAAAAGTGGATTGAGGAGCTCCTGTACGAGTCTGTGCCGTAGAACCCCGTACAACACCCCACAAATATTTGGAAAACTGCCGAAGCAGGAGCTGTGACAATAGCTGCCCTGGCTTGCTTGGATAAAACAATATTAGTGAGTGGCTTTCAAAAGCTGATGCTTACGCTCTTGTCCGAAATTCGAAAGTTGGAATTTAGAACGCAAACTCGAAATCCCAGCCGTTGCGCTGGGTGCTGCGCATCGGAAGGCGGTGAAGGTTGTGCCGCTGGAAGCGACGGCGTCTGTTCAAACGGGCTTGTGAGATGTGGAAAATCTTGTTGGGCCCTAAAAACCTAAACCCTAAACCCTAAAACCCTAGTTGCTTTATGACTTCCATTGCCGGGATTTAGGCCGTTGCTGTGTTGCAGCTGCCTTTTCTCGATGAGCTGTTCGAAGAATATCCTAAACCCTAAACCCTACACCATAAACCCCAGACACTAAAAATGCGCAGTGCCTGACGGCTTTGAGCTCAAGGCTCTGCAAAGTTGCAGCGGGTTCCGGGGGCCTTGTGAACACATAACTCGTCCTCCTAAAGCCCTCAACAAGAAATTCCCAAACCCTCAACCGGAAAAGCCGAGGCCCCAAATGATGTACTACCTGGACCCTACAGAACCTACCTTTTTTGGGGCTCCTTATTATGATTTCCTTGTTTTAGAGTGGGTTATTTCGGGGCCAGGCACACCCTGCTTAGGAGCGCTGGGGCCTTGGTCGACTGCGGCGTAGGAGGAGTGGGTGTTGCCATCGGGAGCCGGTCCTCTGCAGAGAGGGCCTCGAGGTGGAGGACAGGGAAGAGGGCTCTTTGCGGCTTTCGGGTTGGCGAAGCTCGACATGGTGATGCACGTAATCTTAACCCCAAGGCATTAAAAACCTAAACAGTAAAGTTGTAAACTTCTGACCCTAGAGAGATTCTGAAGCCTACATGTGGTTTGTGTGGCTAGTGGGGCAGTTTAGGTAGACTACTGGGATGAAGCCATCTATGTTTTGGGTGCCGGACGATGAGGGGGACGAAGGACCGTTTTGCTTCTCCCGAAAAAAGCACCAAAAAAGCCTCAAGAGCTCAAAAACCCTCAAACTCCAAACCCTGCAAGCCTAAACCTTAGACTCTCAAAACCCTAAACCTTCCTTTCAAAGGCCTCTACCACCCCCAAACTCCATAGCAGGGCTCAGGGGTTTAGGGCTTCGGCGTTTTGGGATTTTGGAGGAGTCCGCGGGGTGAGGAGCTCCCTTGGCTATATAGTACAATAATGCCTACTTTGATACCATAATGGGGATATAATTTATAGTAAAGAGTGAGTAGGGCTTCCCTTGTTAGAGTAACTTAATAGTAAGGGTTCCTGATTAGAGCAACTTAAGAACAGGGTTTCCTCTTAAGAACAGGGTTTCCTTATTAGAGTAACTTAAGAACAGGGTTTCCTTATCAGAGCAACTTAAGAATAGGGGCTCCTTATTAGAGTAACTTAAGAATAGGGGCTCCTTGTTAGAGTAACTTAGTTTAAGTTCCTTAGCAGCACCATGGCTTGGGAAACTCCGGGTTCCGCGCTTCCAGTGGTTGTCGAAAGGGCCGTAATGTAGGGACCTTAATAATTAGAATAATTAGGTTTGTGGTTTAGGGTTTAGGGTTTGGGGTTTAGGGTTTAGGGCTTAGGGTTGGTTTAGGGCTTAAGGCTTAGGGTTTAGGGTTCGGGGCTTCTTTTCGGTTAAGGGTTTAGGGTTCGGGGCTTCTTTTCGGTTTAGGGTTTAGGGTTTAGGGCTTTGGGTTTTGGGTTTTGGGTTTGGGGCTTCATTTCCTAAGCTCTAGACCGTAAGCCGTGAGATCTAAACCAAATCTAAACCCTGAACCCAGAGATCCCAATACCCCGTAATTAAGAAATATACCTTAAATGATAACATCAAGACCCCTGTAACTTAAGGACTTAAGGTATATCCCCTAATGAAGGGACATTGGGATCTCTGAGAACACTGAACCCTTTAGCGTTGCGGAGCTTTGGGCTGGGGCTTCATCGATCTCCAGGCAGTCCCAATCCACCTGCGTCAGAAGGTCCGAAGCGAGGGTTTAGGGCGGAGGGGTGCTGTGTTGAGGGGGTAAGGTTTCTTATTTTAAGTGCAATGGCCGCTTTCACCTGCACTCGCGGCCTTGGGGTAAGGGTTTAGGGTTTGGGGTTTAGGGTTTAGGGTTCAAGGTTCGGTTCAGGACTCAGGATACTTGAAGGCTTATGGCTACTAAGTTGTAAGAAAGGCTGTCAGCAAGGAGACTATAGCCAAAGGGCTTGTAACCCCGATTTAAGTGTCTCACCTCAACTACCATGTACCCTCGAATGGATCCTGACCATCGACCTCTCTGTCCCTCCTACAAAAAGGAGGCCTTCATGCTCAAAATCGGGGCATGCTATACTGAAACTGACCCATAAGGAGGAACCCTGAGGACTCGTGCTGGCAACTCGAAACCCTGAACCCTAAATATTTAGGCCCCGAAAACCCCCTGGGAAAGAAGTGTACTTTTTTGGGTTAGCTGTAACATACTAGGAACCAGGAAAAGTACGCTACTGAGCAGCCTCGTATATCATGCAAGCCTTTCAAGAAGACGGCAGTCGGCCCGCCTGGTGACCCGAAAGCACTGCAGCTGAAGTTTCAGTATTGGCCTGGGCTGCAAGGGTTTTTCTAGATTTTTGGGAAAAGAGTTCAGGGTTCGGTGGTTTAGTGTTTAGGGTTCGGGGCTTAGGTTTGATGGAGGGTGCAGCCCCCCAAAATCCAAGAGCCCTGGATTAGGGAACACTCTTTGAAACATAGTAGGGCTTAGGAGTCTCAAACCCCCCAAACCCCCGAGCCTGCCCCTAAGCCCCAAACCCTAAACCTGCCACAGGGTGGCTTGAGGTCAAGATTTGGGCTGTCGGAGACCGCCGCAAGCTATAGCTACAACCTCGATGCAGCAGGAACCCCCAACGCCCCAAATGAAGCAACATCCGTGACCCTGACGCCTCTGAAATCCCCCACGCTAGAACCCCTTACCCACATCTCAAGCGGTAAACCTTTAGGATTTAGGGTTTAGGGTTTAGCCCCTCACCGCATGCTTGCTGGAAGGCACTGGCCTTCTGCTTGCTTGCGTTCGCTTGCTGCACCATCATCTCTTGCTCCTCTTGGGCCTCGCATGCGAAGCTCAAAACCCCGCTACGCCCAAATCTTTGAAGCCTAAGCGCCTAAACCCTAAACGCCAATGCCTAAACCCTGAAACCGGGGTACTTCTTCGGCCGTCAAGAAAACAAAACGTTGATCCTTAAACATTAGCCTCTGAGCCCCAAGGCCTCCATACCAAATCCTGAACTTTCCAGCGAGCACCAGAGATCCCAATATCCCTTAATTCGGGAGTACTCCGTAAAGCGTAGGGGGGTTGAGGGTTTAGGGTTTTTGGTTTAGGGGCCTTAATAATATCCGTTAATTCGGGAATACTCCGTAAACTGCAGGGGGGTTTAGGGTTTAGAGTTGAGGGTTTAGGGGCCTTAATATTATGATTTAAGATATATTCCTTAATTGAGGGGTATTGGGCTCTCCGGGTTTACCGATTGAGGAATTAACCTTGAATAAGCATTGAACTCGACAGGATGTCGTACTGCGAGCCGAACAATACTCCATGAGATTACAGTGTTTCGTAAGATGAGCTGAGCTAGAGCACATTCTTATTGTAGGAGCCGGAAGACTAAATGGTAAAGGGTGTTGGGGTCCCCTTAAACAATATTCGTAATTAGAATCCTCGCTGGCCCAGCAAGGGAGAATGGGAAACTAAAGTAGTGTAGGGGCCTCAACAGTTAGAATAGGGTTTTGGGTTATATAAAAACCAAAATTACAGCAAGGGACCACCAAAATAGTAGTATTGGTCATTATTTCAGGCCCCTATATTTCTCAAGCTCTCTAGGAGTATAAGGTGCGGGGTGCAGACTTCGGACCTTAGGGTTTGGAGTTTGGGGCTTTAGCTGATTGAGGTTTAGGGCTCAGGGCTGTTGGCTTTAGGGTTTAGGGGGCTGAGAAAGCTTAGGCCCTAAGCGCTCAACCCTACACCCTAAACCCTTAGGGTTTAGGGTTTAGGGGTTTAGGGTTCTGGGTCTTGGGTTTCGGGTTTAGGGTCTAGGGTTTAGGGTTTAGGGTTTGGCTTCAGTGATTCAGGCTAAGACAAACTGACGGCAAAGCAGCCTGGCTCAGTGTGTGCCTACAGCAAGAGGATACGGAAGCAGAGATTTCAACACCGCACAAGGCTTAGGGTCAAGGGTCTAAACATGTCTAGACAAAACCGTACAACCCTAACACTAAACGCCTCAACAAAAATGACTACTAAACCTCTAGCCTGAACATTAAGCGCTGCAACAAAAGAAGACATGCTGAATCAACAAAAGGAGGACCCGGAGGTAGAGAACCCTCCCATGCGGAGAGACCCCCAAGGCGAGGGTTAGGTTGGGGGTATCAAGGTTTCGAGGCTTAGGCTGGGGTTTAAGTAGGGCGCGGGGATGATTCGGGATGCACGGCTTCGGGTACGCAATGTACGAAAAAACAGCTGAAGGATCCGTCTAGACTTTGAAAAATTAGCGCCCCAGAAAACCCCCTTATAGTGAAGCCCAATAAGGTAGGGATATTTCCAGCAAATGCTTATGCTGATGTCCGTTTTTTGGGTCCCTAAAAGATTCCTGAACATTAAGCAGCGTGCCTGCAACTCTTTGCTGTGTCTTACTGTAAGCCGCCGGTGCACCTGAAGCCGCCTTTCTTTCTCTGCTGCTTCTGCTTCCGCGGCCTTGCGAAGCTCTTCCTGGCAGGGTTGCATGCAGAAACGAACACCCTTGCAACTCTGAGCATACACGATTTAGTGCAAGCCGTCGGTCCACCTGAAGCCGCCTTTCTTTCTCTGCTGCTTCTGCTTCCGCGGCCTTGCGGCGCGCTTCCTAGCAGGGTTGCATGCAGAAACGAAAAGCCTTGAAACTCTGAGCATACACGATTTAGTGCAAGCCATCGGTCCACCTGAAGCCGCCTTTCTTTCTCTGCTACTTCTGCTTCTGCGGCCTTGCGGCGCTCTTCCTGGCCCGAAAATATCTATTGTTGTGGACATCCTGCAACAGCACCGGTACGCCTGAAGCCGCTGCTCCTTCAGCGCCGCTTCTGCCTCCACCCCCTTGCGGAGCTCTTCCTGGCAGGTAAACCCAGACGCACGTAGGATTTAGGGTACGCCGCCGTCCACCTGAAGCCGCCTTTGCTTTTCTGCTGCTTCTGCTTCCGAGGCCTTGCGATGCTCTTCCTGGCAGGGATAGCCAGCAGAAACCAACGGCCATGAAAGTCTGAGCATGTAGGATAATTTAGTGTACGCCGCCGGTCCACCTGCAGCCGCCTTTCCTTTTCTGCTGCTTCTGCTTCCGCGGCCTTGCGATGCTCTTCCTGGCAGGGATACCCAGCAGAAATCAACGGCCACGAAACTTTGAGCATATAGGATTTAGTGTACGCCGCCGGTCCACCTGCAGCCGCCTTTCCTTTTCTGCTGCTTCTGCTTCCGCGGCCTTGCGAAGCTCTTCCTGGCAGGGATAGCCAGCAGAAACCAACAGCCACGAAACTTTGAGCACGTAGGATTTAGTGTACGCCGCCGGTCCACCTGCAGCCGCCTTTCCTCTTCTGCTGCTTCTGCTTCCGCGGCCTTGCGAAGCTCTTCCTGGCAAGGATAGCCAGCAGAAACCAACGGCCACGAAACTTTGAGCACGTAGGATTTAGTGTACGCCGCCGGTCCACCTGCAGCCGCCTTTCCTTTTCTGCTGCTTCTGCTTCCGCGGCCTTGCGAAGCTCTTCCTGGCAGGGATAGCCAGCAGAAACCAACGGCCACGAAACTTTGAGCACGTAGGATTTAGTGCACGTAGGATTTAGTGTAAGCCGCCGGTCCACCTGAAGCCGCCTTTCCCTCTCTGCTGCTTCTGCTTCCGCGGCC